AGAAATAATGGTTAGTTTCGAGAAGTGGAATATCAGTGAAGCAATATTTTGTCTTGCATTGCACGCAAACTTCATCCTAATGTCTGAGTATGTTAGAAATATCGAGTGGTCTTTTGTTGAAAAATTTTAACAAGTGATCTATCATGTGTTTGTGGATGAAAAACTTCAACCGGAACAGGCTGGATTCATAAGAAACAAGTCATGCACCGAGAATATGGCAACACTACGTATTATCATTGAACAGAGCCTGAAATGGCAGTCAGCTGTCTATCTGAATTTCATCGACTTTGAAAAGGCCTTCGACGGCGTCGATCGAGAGGTGATTTGGAAACTGCTGCGCTACCACGGTGTGCTGCCAGCAGTTATACATTTCATCCAACGCTTGCCAAGTAATCCATGACGGGAAACTCAGGGAATCCTTCGAAGTGGAGACAGCAGAAGGACAAGCTGGTTACCTACTATTTCCAGTGATTTTCTTGATTGCGGTAGACTGGATAATGTGACAGAGAGCGGGCAGTGAGGAAACAGGCATAGAATGGACCCACACAAAACACTTGGAGGATGTGGACTTCGCCGATGATATATGTCTGATTTCCCATAAACTGAAAGATATGCAAGTGAAAAGCAACAAGTTGGCAGAAGAAGCATCATAGATAGGAAGGACTTTAGGTGAACGTAGAGAAAACAGATGTGGTGATGAATATTCCTGGCCGACAGAGGCAGCAACAGCGTCGGTGGCGTAGCGGTTAGGACGCTCGCCGACCATGCACATGGTTCGGGGTTCGATCCCCTGCCGACGCAACCCGATATCTATGGTGGCCTGTAAAATTTGGGCTACCGATATCCATGCTGAAAATTCCATACCTGTACTGAAAATACGGTGTAGCATCAAGCTGTAATCAAAAGATAAAAAATAAATAAAAAATAAATAAAAACAATCAACATTGGTGGAAGAAATCTGAAAGAAGCAACCTCCTTTACCAACCGACCTGAGAAGCATAGTTTCAACTACAGGTGGAACCGGTGAGGATATCAAAGCGAGGATCTGGAAAGCAAGGCAAGCTTTCATTACTCTCAAGTCTGTGTGGAGATCAACAGCACTCAGCACTCAATTACTACACACAACTTTAGCTCAAGGTATTCAAAGATGATGGAAGCATTGAATCACGTGCCCCCCAAACTACGACTACAGAAGTCAGTAGATTTCCACCTTTGCCTACTATAGATTACTTGACCTACTAAAAACACTTGGTCATAAATATGTACTTTCACATTTTATGTAACTAATTAATTACTTAAGATTGTATCGCAATATTTTGGATGATTCTGTTTGCAAAGTGGACGTAAAGAGATTATGAAGTTATATTATCTCAGAATATATCTTCTAATTTAACAGTTACATATTTCAAGAGATTGGAAAACGGAATGACGAAATTAGAGACTTTAAGAAACAGTAATTTCGTGTTATACTTGATTGTGTCATGATTGTTCAACAATGTTCTGCTGATGCGCATAGTAGATTATATGAATAATGAGCAATTAATTCACTTTCTCAGTTTCGTACTGTTAATTCTCCTTTGCTAAATGCTTAGTTTATCCCGCGACATTTATTTATTCAGAAGAAACAACCAGCGAATAACTCTGCAGTGTTCACGATCCCCTAAGTGCTCTTAAGACTGAAAGTCATGGGAGATATTAAAGATGAAATTGTATCGCATCTAAGTAGAGCCTTCGAAATGACTATTAACGCAGGCATGTCGTGCTGTTCATTCGCTACTCAAACTAGGCTTACTTATATCGTATTATGAAGATATACTGCATAATTCCGTCTATTCCGTGTGTATCTATCCGTTTAAGTACTGTTGTAGGATTAGTTATATTGTGGGTACGATTAGACAAGCTCATCAGCGTATTACTGTACAATACTCATCTTGATTATACAACTTCACGTAGCTCAATATTATCTCATATCTTTCATATATTTTTCGTACTGCATACATATGTTCACAATCTGTTCCCTGCATACAGTAGATGCGTTTGGAATTCGTCTCAGTAAGCTAAATCTGTTTGTTCTGAAGAAGTGATTACAGTCGTCATTTTTTGTTTTGTCCGCCAACATAATATGTATAGATGCTCGTAAGCGATTTCCTCCATTCCTTGTGAATATCATTTAACATTTTATTTTGTATTTCTGTTATTTTATTATGACTATTATTTTATCCGATTCAGTGGACCTAATCTTACGTATCTCACCTATTCATTGTTCACAGTTGTCATTGTCTTACACGTTGTGTAATGACCTGTTGCTCAAATCTACAGACAAAATGATCTTCCATCCCACAGTTATCTTAATTCCTATTAAATCTTAAAACTAATAATACATAACTGAAGGATTGGCATTTCAAATGTGTCGACGGGAACGTATCATTACTGGAATCTTCATTAACTCTAGTGGTGTGTCAATTCTACTTGATTACATTCCACTAGTTTAAATCGCAGCAATAAATTATCCCTAATTATTCAAAACAACATATTAAAACTGCAGTGATAATTTGTTAGATGAAAGTCTGTGCTTCTGACAATGAAAGTAGCGATTGTAGTATGTCTGATACCGTAGTGATTGAAAACAAAATTAGTTCAGAAATTTTCACCTTCTAATTTTAATCACTAATGCATGTACACAAACCTCGCTTAGTTTAATAGCCTACTGATTTTCCAGCCGGCGCCACACCCTCGGAAAGAGGGAAATTAGTGCGCGAAATTACCAATCGTACCCGAAAAAAACAATCCAATTGCTCCCGAAATTTCTAAGCACAAGAAAAATATAAAAAAACAAAATTGATCTTTGATGGAATCAGAGAGACGAAATGATGTGGAGTGATGAAAGACTTCGGAAAGTCAGTCAGCCGGTGTGTCTTCTCTAGATTATAGCAAAGATAATAACTAGGACACAGAATGTTCGTACAATGTACGAAGCTGGGAAATGAAAAGATAGCCCATGGAAGTGCTAGGAATCTTTGAGTACAAGTGAAATGATTTGGACCAGCCAAACTGTCTACTGGGCAGTCAGCAATTTAATCTGGTCATCCAGATGACAAAAAAGAGCACACCGAGGGAGTGCCTATCACGATGTCACTAATAGCAGCCAAAGCTTTAACGGAGTAGGAACCAATTTGATTTAGGATAATGACAGCAAAATTCAACTCAAAAGTGAGAAAGGTTACAATTATCCAATGCCATGTGCCCAAAAACGACTCGAAACAAGAGTTTTATCGACAACTGCAAACAGTAATGAACCAAATCCGAAATGGCAACATCAGAATCTTGATAAGCGGTATGAATACTAAGCTTGGGGCACACAGTAAAACGAAGGAATTCATCATGTGTCGACAGGTTCTCAGCTAAAAGAATGAGAGTAAAGAACTCGTCGCAGACTGTATCCAAGGATCTTTTGATTCGAGAAAACATGTACCAGCACAAGGATATGCAGAAGGTGTCAAGTTCAACATCTGTAAATTGAGGAATCCAACAATAAAGAACACCATCAATGCAGCCAATTGGACAAGGCAAGATAACGTTACGTAGCATCAATGAGGAAACCAGTTTTGTAGAACATCAGAACTCTGAAGTTGATGTTCAAGGAAATCTGTACAACCATTTTAGGAAGAAAAGAGAGTGAAGATAAGAAATGGATCTCAATGGACACCTACCTGGAAGCTAAATGAGGAGGGGAGGATGGTGAAACAGAAGATTAGTCATAACAGAAATTGACTACAGAAGGTGAAGCTGAGTTCCATGCACAGCAACGGTGAATGACGAAGTGAAGAAGAGTGACAGGAGAGACAAAATACAATTCTACGACACAGTGGTAACTGTAGAAGAATAGGACACACGTAAATGAGACCTCAGAACATTGTATCAGACAACGAAGTTTCAATCCAGGAAGGGATTAACACAGAAGAAGCAAATAACATATAGTCATAGGAAACTAATATTTCTGATACAAGTATGGAAATTCCAGGATGTGAAATCGGTAGCCCAAATTTTGCAGGCCGACCACTGATATCTGGTGTGCGTCGGCCGAGGATCGAACCCTGGACAATGTGTATGGTCGGCGAGCGTCCTAACCGCTGTGCCACCGACTAACATTAACTGAAGAATGATCACATAAGATTTGTTGTAAAGCGGAATCTATTGGAACCATGAGACAATGTTGTTCACAAACGTAACAAGTTTTGGGGTTGATTTGTTACTACTTAGACATTTCTGATGGTTTGTGGATCTTAAGGATTTCATCGGAATGTAATCATTTTATCTGGTTTAAATATGAATTTTATCTTGAATCAATGTTCATTCAATCTGCTAGTGTTGTCATTTCTTTTTTCGTCCTAAACAGTTTCTTCGATTGCCCCATCTCTTCCTGTTTTGAACTGACTTATACAAATTCAGAGTTTGTCAGGTAATGCATCATTTATCTACTGTTCTTATCAGTTTTACACCTCTTTCTAAGATTTATTCTTCTCATGAATGATTTCGTATATTTCATAACCTGTTTTACTGTTTAAAATTACCTTCAGTGTATCAAAGTTGAGAATATTTGAACTCATTTATTTCTCCATGATCAAAATATAATCAGTTCAAGATGTCTATTTAATATTAAATTATTATACGAATAGTACAATCTAGAGTATTGGAGTACTGTGTTACTACATTTTTGGAAAACACTTACATTTTGTCAAACATTCTGTGGACTTTGAGTTTTAAAATCACATTCACATAACCAGTTCTACTCTTATTTTTCATATAAATAGACAGTGAATAATGAACTAGACGGCTATCTGATCTGAATTATTTCACAGTAATTTTTCTTTTGAAGTACGGTATGTATTGATTGTTACACTGAACCATGGACTAACTGCGTTTTTTTCACCACGTTTAGAATGCACAGATTAACACGTTGGTCACTGGATTGATGTTAGTTGTTCCAATAAGTTAGGCAATGAGTCCTGCAGTGTAGGCATTGTATAAACGTTTGTGAATGCATTATCTGATCGTTCAATATCGAATATCAGTGGAGTTGCAGATACAAAGATATCGTTTTATATGTGATTACAAGGAAGTGAGAATTCTTTTCCAAATTATGCGTAAACAGTTAGCGTGTTGAAACATCAGAAATCAGTTGGATTCAGTCAAAAAATCTGTCAGTTCCATTGAGTAAAATTGAATGACGCCTATTGAATGAGTTATATTTAAAATAAAATGACGTTTAAAAGTATGCAGGAATTTTTCAAATAGCTTAAATCATATATACTCACTTCCTCACCTAGTGATAATGAAATTTTCCAGATGCTCACGTACCGTTTGAGAGCCGATGTTACTGCACACTGAATTTAGCGAGCTGAAATACAATCTCAACAGCAATTGGCTGAATGTTGAGTGCTCAGCCATCCCTATATCACATACATATCAAAAACAGAACACAAATCAGACCTATTTCCATCACATTATTCAAATGCTTTCGAATCATTCTACACACCGAATGGCAGTAATCATCCTATTTTCTATTTAAATTTCAAATCAGGTTCATCTTTCTTTCAGGATGGTACTAACTGACAACGACTCAAACAAATCATCTTTCCGTAAATCTGAGGAGACTTTATATGCAACAAATGAAGAGTCATTTGTGATAAACTGTGATCGGAGAATGCAGAAAAATTTCGTCAACATTTCGAAATATGACAAACGTGTAGGTCGTCTCATGTCATTGTTGGTTGATTGTGTAACCCTCATAGGTGATTGTGTTCTCTATCATACTCATTATAATTGCAATAATCATCGTTATAGCCCCACACTTCTTGTAAGTATTCATCATTCTCTTGTGTATGTTAGATTAAAGTGGGTCCCTCGACTTGAATCCGGTTGTTCACTTTATAATGACTATGGTAGTTTGGTAAGTTTAATTCAGCTTCAGTATTCTGTTCATTGTGGACGTATTTTTCATTTGTAAAAAATTGTTTATTCATACTAGTCATTGTTACTATTTAGTTAAAAGGGCAATACTATTACCTCAAATTAACAATGAAGCCACCTCATATTCTTGTGTATTTCGAGTGATTATTTCCGTAGGAGAATTGCTGACAGCTACAGGGATGCGTAACAACATCAGGTTCCGTCTGCGGTTTCAGATAATAAATAACTGATTTTATGCCTCATTATTCGGTTGAATGTGTTGCATTTAATATCAATACTAATACTTCTTAAACTTGAACCCTCCCTTAAAAGCTTTGAAGACCCCAAACAATTTGCCTATAGACAGGGTAGGAGCACTTTAGACGCTGCAGCTGTCTTACACAACAACATCGTCTCATCATTAGATAAAGGTGCCAAATACGTCCGCTGCACGTTTCTCGACTTCACTTCTGCTTTCGACTCTCTACCTAGATGTCTCCTGCTAAATAAGCTCTCTTTGACAAAAACTGAGTCCTGGGTCACTAACTGGCTGCATTCCTACTTCTCTAACAGAAAGCAGTACACCGTATACAAAGGCAAATCATCCTCTGCTGTACTCACTGAAGCTGGTGTCCCCCAAGGTGCTGTACTCTCCCCACTTCTCTTTTCTTTCTTTCTACATGACTTACCATCTTCAAATGATATTAATTTTGTCAATTATTATGACGACCTGACAGTATCTTTGCCTGTCAAATGTCAAAGCGACTGTTCTAAACTTAATGGCTTTCTGTCAGAAATCAGCCAATGGTCTACGGAAAACGGTCTTACCCTAAACCCCTCCAAATGCCAAACAGTCAATTTCACCTTTAGGCATAAATCCGACCTAAACAAACTGGTTGGCTCTCACGAGGTATGCAACATAGACGGCACTGAAATAGAAACTAAATCGGAAATTAAATACCTAGGTGTCATTCTATCTGCTGATCTCTCCTGGTCGTCTCATATCTTAGCAATTTCTAAGAAAATATTCCGTCTTACCTTCTACATCAAGAAGTTAAAACATTCTGGTATTACCCAACCCTTACTCCTACAATTCGTTAATTCTCGCATCCTGCCTATTATTCTCTATTGTTCCCCCTTAGTTTTTTCCTGGGCTACTGAAGAAAGACTATAACATATTACGCAGGATGTTAAAGGTTGTCAGCAGGGTAAGCAACGTGCCACTTAACCAGCTTGTTAATATTCTGGTCGAAAGGCAGGCACATGGACTCATGTGAAAAATGGGCCAAATCCATTTTATCTAACTCACACCACCCTCTTCACTCACAACTCTCCCCTTGCATCTCATCAGGTAAGACCAGAAGCCAATATAGAAAACTATATGCTCGCACCAGCAAGTACAAAAACTCAACCATACCCTACTTAGCTCGTGTTTGATGTGATAAAGAAAGCATTAGGCGTGACACCTATAATTCATTAAATAGTCAGTAGTACAACTGGATCTCGTCTTTCCAACTCATATCATTTATAGGTACAACATTTTCTTTCTTTCTGTTCCTTTTCTCTCTCTTCTTTTTCCGTTATGTGCTGCTTTGTTTCTTTCTCTCGCTTACGCCAGTAAATATGACAGCTCCAACTTTGCTAACACCTTCAAACACTGTTTCAGCTTTGGCTTTGCTACCAAAATGCCAATATGTTGTTGTCATAATGAACTGAGATTTCCTTAATCTATGTAGAATTCTATTTATTGATAATGTACTAACTGGATGCAATACTGTAGTAAATATGCTGAGAATTCCATTCTGTATCACAAGTACTGTTTTGGAATAAAGCAAATTATTATTATTATCAATCGAAAATCTATAGCAGCCTCAGTAAAACGTTCTGATGTCTAGGCTTGGAAGGAGTTTGTTCAAAAAACTGTTACCTGAGAAGCACTACAGAGCTGTAAAATACCGAGTGCGGTTTAATTCTTCACCAAGTAATGTTGTTCTGAAATCAAACCGTTCTAAAACACTCTGCTACAGAGGAGGAGATAATTATAGTTTATTCGAAGTGTGGGAAATAAATAAGCATACTAGGGAAATATGTTTAGCCAAGTAACATGTGGACAAGTAGATAGTGAAAGGCTGGAAATGAAACTTTTGATTTTCAATGTATCAATAAAGTTTCATTACAACATTTTTGTTTCACTTCACAAACTTTTATTTCTATTCAGCGTGTTAGCCATAGCCAGTGGATATCTTATCGTAATTTCTACATATTTCAGAGAAAAACTGATTACTGCTTTAATTACTCTTCTCATTTATGTGAGTCAATCGGTATTTTCGATACATAACTTCTTCATGTTTATTCCCTTAAGCAAATGTAAACGATACTCAGTTACTAATAAAATGAGACGTTTGATGGGCACCATTCATGAGACTGAAATTGTAAGTTCAAATCTGTCAGAGTCTAACATCTTTCACAACAATTAATCTGCAATTTATGCAGATAAAATTTATAGAAGGACTACAATGAATCTGTTTGACCGGGGATTTCTCAGATACTGAAGAACTGAACTAGTGTTTGACATGCAGTGTTCTTTGATAGACATACTGGATAGTATTGTGAGATGTGTTTTGAAAGTGTATGGAAGTATCTGGGTGTAAGGGGTAAATAGTTTTGCAAACACTTATTAAGGTGCATCAGAGTCAGAGGGGCAATTCAATTTCGACATATCCATGAAATGTCTTCTGAGTGAAGAAGGTGATTCATAGGACAGAAGAAAATAGGTAAGTGAACGAAGATGATATTTCACAGATGAATGATTAAAGCCAGAAAGTTACTAAATACCCAGTAAAGTAGCAGGACTAGATAGAATGCCCAAAGAAGCACTCAAAACGGAAGCAGATGGCTCAGCAGGTATGTTCACAGCACTACTGAAAAAACTGTGGAAGATGTGGAAGGTGAAGAAGTTGCATCATCCTGATGGGACTAGAAAACCACTTTGTTTGGAACAGGACATTGGCTGACAGTTGCACCATATGTCGCAAACTGCCAGAGGTTTCAATTCATCGTCCATTGCATTTGACTCCAATGATGACAGCATCATATTTAATCAATTAGTGGTTACATTCCTCAAAACATAAGGTCCTACAACCATGTAGTAGGTAGCATCTGCAGACTATTAACGAAGTTACACTTCGAAGACATGAATAGTAAATGCATTCACTCCACACATTACACTAAACACTAGATAGTGATAAAGATTCCAGGGACATGGTGTCATATCCCTGATGCCAAAGTCTCTATCCATCAAAAGGCCTAAATTATTCTGCATTTCGTATTGTTTTAATCATGCAGTTCACCTGCCTTCCACTGGCTGACAATCAGAAGTAATCAAATAGTGGATTAATGAAAGGATTCAACAAATACTCCCCGGTTCTTATTTAGCTGTTTTTTGAAGCGAATATGAAATCAAAACTTGCTATAAATAAATTGACTCTGTGTCTAATTTATTTTCTTTTACTTTTCAACTCCAGGGAATATGTTGCTCTATTTGTCTGTCCATTTTCTTTGCCAGTGCTACACTTGTGGATGTTATTCTGGGTTGGGTTGCAGCTGTTGTCATATGTGCATGTGGAGTATTTTTCGGGGCAATGATAAAGAAAGATTTGATTAAGAAAATCGACGCCTTCCTGTTAGTGTGTGTTGTGATTTTTGTTCTGACAGGCATTGCCATGGGAGTACTAATTGCTTTCAAAAAAGTCATGGTATGTTAACATATTGTCAGTTTATATGTATCCTGTAATTTTAGGTTTAATCACGGATTAATAACAGTTAGCCAACCACTGTAAACCACTAGGGAGTACTGGGGTACTAAATAATTAATGGATGAAATTTATGTTTTCTATTTCTGGTGTAACTTCAATGTTACTAGAATTGTGGACTCGTTCTACAGCTACTTCAACACAACAATAATACACGTGCCTATAGTGTTGTAACTGAGACTTTAGCACTGGACATCAACATGCTACTGATCGAACGGACTATCATTCCCCACACTGAGTAGAAACCGATGACTGACTGAGAAGACAAGATTTATTTTTCCAAACAAACAAGAATAACATTAAGAATTACAGTCAACTATTTCGTTATTTTATATAAGCAATAAATTACTAGCTTAGGAAACAAAGTTAGACGTATTATTACAATTATTGGTTCCTTGAGATCCGAGTGAAACATATGACTTCACAAGCTCATCTCCGCTCCACTCAGTTCTCTGTTATCACTTTCAGCGGAATCCAGGACTATACATAAGCGATCATAATGGCTTCTCATGATCTTCGCCGGTTCACTGTCAGACCTATACCTAACTTGGTTTTTTAAATCATTCGGATAACATTGGACAGATTTTAGCAGAATACAATTTGAACGTCTCTTCAGCGAATATCCAATCCATCTGCGTATACGTCTGCATATTTTCAAGTTTTGGCTCGCAGGCATTTGATTGATCACAAGTTTCATCACAAGCTGACTTTGGTTTTAACAACAGTGGAAACTTAGGGAGTACTGTATGATTGTTTTATCTTAGTTTTAGACTCTACATCAGTACGCACCTACCAGAATTCACACCCATGAACTTTCGGTTGCAGAGCAAGCTCTCAGATCATTTGGCCACTGGGGGCAAATCTGATGACTCATCAATTCCAACGTCTCTCTAGAATTAGTGACCAGAGAGGTCCATCAAGTCAGGAGTGACAATAGCTACTAACCGATAAAAGTGGCTGCTGGTTGCACCGTATATATCACGAAATGACAGAAAGTGGAATTAATGTTCCATTGTATTTCTTATCAGTGACTTAATGGTATACGAGGCTGTTTTGTAACAGGAAAATCCTGAGTTAGGATACTGATGGGCCTGTGCTGCTGAGGAAACCGAAACTGCCGTCCAGTGCAACCTGGTTCTGCACTTTTGGTGGACAGTAGGCTATTAGATATTTTGTTGCCAATATGTATATTGATGATGTAACTCTACTCACATCTTACCAATCTTCACCC